TAGATTCTCTTTGAACCGTACATTAATATTGTGTACTTCAGACCTTTTTTTAATCTTTTCGTACAAATAGGCAGGCTTTTTTGACAACATTATTTTATGATACAAAACAGAAGCATGCAAAAGTCTTCTATTATTGAGATTTAACCAACCTAAGTTCACCATATGTTGTGAAGTTGGCTGACGTCTTCTTACGCCACATATAAAACGAACACAAGCATTTTGTATTCGTTGCAGTCGCTTCTTTTCATATAGAGCAAGAGCAGGACCGTAAATAACATCAGCATAATTTACTTGTGAAAGCACCAAACTCTCACATAGATTAGTTCGTGTATTTTTATTTAATAGTTGTTTGTGAGAGTATATTAATTTTAGATTTGAAAATGCTTTTTTAATAATAGTTGACACATGTTTTGAAAAAGTTAACGAACTATCTATATACACTCCGAGATTCTTTTCACATTCAGAAAATTCCAAATTATCATTTTCTATTATTATCTTTAAAGTGTCTTTAATTCTATGTTTTGCTAATTTACGACCGAATAGCATTGCCTTAGATTTTGTAGCATTAATAGACAAACAGAATTTGTTAGAAATCTCAGCTATAATATTTAACTCTTCATTTACTTTTAAGGAAGTACTTTCAGCCTCAGATTCCTTAAAGTCGATGTACAATTGTGTATCATCTGCGTAAAAATGCGAGTTCATATATTTCAAAAAGGTATGAAACTGAGAAGTATATATACAGAATAGAAGAGGCCCTAGAATTGAGCCTTGTGGCACACCCCGTGTTAGTTCAGCTTCTTTAGATAATATTGGGCCCATGAGAACTCTTTGACATCGTTCATTTAAATATGCATTGATTAATTTCAAAGAAGAGTTACTGAAGCCTATATGATGACATATTGCTTCTAGCATGCGATGGTTAAGCTTGTCAAACGCCTTGGAGTAATCTAAAAGTACTAACACGCACAGTTTATTTGCATCTATGTAAGAGTAAATGTCATCTAAAACTTTTAGCAACGCAGTGGTGCAACTGTGTCCAGGTCGAAATCCAGATTGGTGTTTAGGAAATATGTTATTCTTTGTTATAAAGGTACGCATTTGCTGATCCATTATTTTTTCTAGTACTTTAGAAAGAGTACACAAAATACTTATTGGTCTCAGATCCTTATAATCATTAGGATTGTCCGTTTTTGGGAGAGGTATTACGTTGGACTTTTTCCATAAAGCTGGAACAACCGAATTGCGAAGACAATAGTTTATTATATGTAATAAATGTGGCAGAATATAAGGACAACAATGTAGTAACATAATTATGTTGATTTCGTCTGGACCACTTGCATTCGATTTAATAGATAACAATAATTTAAAGATTTTTAATTCATCTACTTCATTAAAATTAAAAAGATCAAGTTCATTATTTAATCTAGTAGACAGATAGTAACTTAAAATGTTCGCGTCAGGATTATCGTTTCCACCTATACCGTTTATAAAATAATCGTTTATGGCGTCCGGATTTTGTAGGTGACTGGGGACAGCCCTAGATAAATTTTTGTTCTTAATAATTTCTAAATTTTTTAATGCCTTCCACATATTATTTTTTTGTCGCAGTCTGAATTCAAGATAGGCCTTTTTTTCACGTTTTATAGCGTAATTTACTTCATTTCGCATATTTTTATAATAATTCCAATCATTTATATTTTTTGTTCGGTTAAATTTTTGATGGGCTTTGTCTCGCAATTTCATCATAATTTTAATCGTGTCAGTGAGCCAGGGCGCTTTCTTTTTAGTTATCCTTACTTGTCGCAGAGGAGCATGTATCTGGAATAGAGCTAAGAGATTTGAATTTAGAATATCCAGTTTTATGTTTAAATCTTCCGTATTGTATATTCCCCTAAAGTCGATAGACTCTAAATCAAGAGCAAATGAATTTGATTTAAATTGTCTATAATCACGAAGTTTACGGAAAAATGGTTCAATTCTCTCTTTTGGGATTCCTATGGAACATGATGCAACTGAGTGATCAGAAACTAGTGAACAGTCCGTAACTTTAACGTTATTGCATAATAAACTTTCACAACAGGTTATAATATCTAATAAATTGAAGCCCCTGGTAGGTTTATCTACTATTTGTTTAAGATTGTATGAATTAAAAATTGACTGAAATAACCTACAAGCAAAACTATCCGGTTCCAGAAAGTTTATATTAAAATCCCCTGCGAAAATTATATGGGTATACTTTGGAGCAACATTATTTAATATCTCGTCAAGTTCATTTGCAAGTTGTTGGATAGGAAAGTCACCCGGTCTATAAATTGAACCTATTGCGTAAAGTTTATTCTTATGGTTAAATGAAGTCCAGATCTGCTCTGATTCAATATTGTCTAAACTTAAAATTTTAGAATTAAAAATATTTTTTATATATATAGCAACCCCTCCGCCCCTTTTTGTAATTCTGTCCTTTCTATAAAGTTTGTAACCTGGTAAACTAATTGTAGTATCGATAATATTTGGTTTTAACCATGTTTCAGATACAGTTATAATATCAAATACATTATGAACAACGTTTTTAAATTCTAAGAAATTGGCTATCACCGATCTGGCATTTATGTGGCATAAAGAAAATGTTTTATTCATGAACAACTACACATTGACAAATAAAATTAAATCGATAAATTTATTAATACAAAAAAAAAACTAAAACAGTACCTAAAGTTAAGTTTAATTAAAGATGGGCTTGACCGAGGCAGTTCAGTTACAAGAACAGTTACTTCCTTTTAGACCTTCTGACTGTATCAGATTTATCACTCTTGGCGCTTGATGTGGAGTTAGATCGAGGAATTTTATGCTTTTCAAACTCAGATCCCGGAGAAGTCAGTCCTCTTTTACCAGAAGAGTCAGTTGACTGTGTTTCAGAATTAACTTGACCGCTAATTAAAGCTGCGTTGCGAGAACTTTGGCTTTCAATTTCTTGTAATTGTTTAATATTGTATTCAACACCATTCACGATCAGTGACTTTCCTTTGATTTTAACAGTGCTATGTTGGGCTCTAGCAGACTTCAAATGTTTTACGAGAATTCTTTGTTCCTCTTGATCTTCTTTACATAAATCTTGAGATACAAAAATATTCTTGCCTTTTAACTTACTGCAGTTCTGTAATATTTCTTTTTTCTTTAAAAATGTTGTGAACTCGACTTTAATTGTTTTCGAGTTGTTTTTAGTGTTTATCTGAACGATGTTATTGATATCTATAGGTGATATTACTACATCTAACAGCTCATATAATTTCGAGAGTGTATATTGAATCAACGGTTCGTTATCTGGAACAGTTAGACCATAAATGAAAACATTGTTCCGTCTAATAAATCTCTCAAGCTGTGTGCAACGACTGTTAAGAGTATCCTGCTTATATTCAAGTTTTTCAATTTTAATCGAGTTTTCAGATAATTTATCGATAATCTTTTTGTTGTCTTCTTTTATTTGATTTACTATCTTTTGATTTTCAAGTTGAATCATTTCTAATAATTTTGAATATAAATCTGCATTGCTTAAATCATTAGTATCGCCCATCTCTAGTTCGAATTGCCTTATCACACGAAGAAAAAAGTGGTATGGCCGAGAAATAGATTATCGTGAATAATTCAATGCTGCATGCAATTGCAGCTTTTTCACAAGACATATGAATTTAGAAATATCAAATATGTAAGGTTCAAATCAAAGGCAACTCACATGCAAATTTTGAAATAAATCGGCCGATTAATTCAACAACTAAACACAACTTTTTTAGGAGCACACGTTAAACACGTCTTTGCTATTAATGGTTATTATAGTAGTGATTTAGAAGCAAATTATTTTCTATTTATAGAATAAAAAATCACTCATAATATCTAAATATTTATACCTATTTATATTTTGGACAGGAAGACTATTTTATTTTTTTGGCTCTGAATAGTTTTCTTAAGAATTTTAAAACCTTTCTTAGCTCTTTTGAGATATTCCATGCATATCTTAGAAGTAATTTTGTTTAAACCTAAAACAAATTAAGTACAAAAAATTAACATTTAAACAATACACAAAATTAGTCTTTTAGATTAGTTAAAAAAAAGTGTCAACAAAAAAATGGCTATGCCTTTTTCCTTAAACATTCTTTTTGAAAGGAACTTAAGTTTCTCTACTTACTTGCTGTTTTAGTATTTTACTAGCAGATGAATATAGTGTAGAAGTAGTGACAGGATTGATTATTATACTTCTTTCGTCGAAATTGCATTTTTCTTTAATATTTTCCTTCCCTGAGGTCTGTAATAAAAATGTTCATTAGCATAAAAAGTTATTAAGGTGGTCACTTGTTGAATTCCTATATTTTGGAACCATGTATTTCTTTCTCATATCAAGAGAAGGAAACCTAAAAAAAATAACAATAAACTTTACAAAGATGTGATATTAAAATAATAATAAGTAATTAACCTTTACTATAATCATTATGAGACGGATGAAGACGAACTTAGCTGGAGTTTACTTGCTCTTAACTTTAATTTATCGATAAGAAAATAAGAAAGTATAATTGCAAATTAAAGGTGATTGCCTAATGCACCGCCTCTGATAATTAGGTTGTGTCTGTACTTACTTATGATATTATCTTGAAGAAGCATTTTCAACAGGCCTTTTACACATAAAGCATGTTTTCACCATATTATTAGAGATAATAAATCTTAAATATACATTTACAATCCTTACAACGTTATAAATAATAATATTTTCCGTAAAATACAAATAAGAAATTGACATGTGTCAGAACTGGCGCTCACAGAACACTTCTGGCGCTGTCAAACTTGGCAACGCTGATTAAATAAGCCAATTACAGAAGAGGTATTTTCCCCCTCGGGGGGAGTAGATGATGCTAACAAAATTTAGCGCGGGGAAGGGGGGAAGACTCCCTCTAGTAGTAATTGCTCGGAGGTACACACAACACATGTAATCTTATATACAAATATGTTATGATATCGCGTAAAATCCATCCGGCAACGTCGCAAATATATTGTGAAACGTCAACTGTATTCCTAAGTGAAATAAAAGTAAATGTCAAAATGTTTCATTGTGAGGATCGATTGCGAGATAAAGGAAAATTTGTTAAGCAAAACGTCCTCAATAAACGCAAAAAATCAATTTTGGCTATGAATAATGCCAAAAAATTGAGAAAGGAAACCCCAAACGTGGAAAATAACCTATGCAGTGGTCGACGCATCGTGGAATTACAGGAGTTGGGAAAACATTTAAAATGTTGCAGGTGTGAAAGAGTTCTTTCTCTTGAAAATACTACAAATGAAACACGAAAGGGCCTTTATTCAATTTTAAATGTTAAATGTAATGAATGTAATATTGATACTATAGTACCTACGGGGAAAGTTCATACAACAAAAAGTGAAGTTAAGCATTCAGATGTCAGCACTAAAGCAGTTCTAGGTAAATTTAAAAAAAATACATAAGTATTTGTTATGTTTATAATTTTTTATCATCATTAATATATTTTTCCTACGACCACTTAGGAAAGTGACACATATCACACTATATACTCCTATGGAAAGTGCCCTATATCACACGCGTATGAATAAGAATTTACTTTCCATCCGAGTGAGAATATGTTACTTTCCGTAGTAGTTGTCACAAAATGTCAAACACCTAATTTCTATTTTGATCTACCTGTGTAATGTCCATATTAATACTAAAATCGATATGATTGTTAAATTATTGAAATCGTTGTAAATTAGATCCTAGATATTTATCTTTAACAATTATTATTAAAATAATTTTAAAATAATGTTTGCTCTTTATTCTGGTTAAATACATAACCGATTAGATCATTCAAATGACACAAGGGCTATTAGCTCAGGTGGTTAGGATATCGAACTTATCAACTTTGCCATTTTTCGACCGCGTTCGAATCCTGGCGGGGCAGAATTTTTTTGTTTTTTTTTTAATTTTTTTTTTTTAGTTTTTTTTTTTGTTTAGAAAATATGAAAATTGAATAAATACGATTATTGTTGATTATTTTTTTAAATACATTTTAATTATAGTAATAATAACCTAGGTTTTACATTTTTTTGATGACATTATTTTGTGGTTGTAGGAAAAATATTGTACATCACTTGCGTGAAAAGTGATTTTCCACACTCGTATTGTAATATACTATTTATTTATTTTTCGTCATGCTGTACTATTATCTTACCATAATATGAGCGAAATTGATATCGAAAAGGTGCATTTAACGGCCGCCGGCCGTTAAATAAAATAACGGCCGCGCCCCACCTACAACAATCACAACAATCTAAAGTTGCCTAGCAACCACATCAATATACTATACAAACATTGTAAGTTTGACAGTACTGTTTCTTGTTGAGTGATTATAGAGCGGAAAAGATCAAAGATGGAAGAAATTTTCGAAAACGATATTCCTTCCGATGTACTGGAAGAAGCAGCTGCGGCAACCAAAAATTTATTTCCGAGTACAACCCAACAAAGATATCAGCAGGAATACGACAACTTCGTGAAGTGGCGTCAGAATAAAAACATACATAGTGTAAGTGAAGAAGTACTGCTAGCTTATGCAAAAGGAATGTCTGAAACGTATTCTCCTACATCACTGTGGACAAAAATATCAATGCTGAAACTTGCGTTAAGAATACATGAAAACATTGACATATCAAGGTAAATTAGTATACTATCCGCCAACATTGAACTAACTATATACTCATCGAAATTATGTTTGTTTGTAGATTCGGTAAACTATTCTTGTTCCTGAGGCGCAAAAATGTAGGTTATACCCCAAAGAAAGCCAAGGTTCTATCGGAAAATGATATACTTAAATTTTTGCTGGACGCGGATGATCATACCTGGCTACTGGAAAAGGTGTTAGTGCTCGGTATTCTAGGAGCTTGCAGGAGAAATGAACTTACGTCTCTCACCATTAACAGTTTCGAAGATACAGAGAAAAACATCCTCGTATCACTAAAAAATACTAAGAATAAAAAAGACAGAAATTTTCTTATCCCAAAAACAGGACTTCCATTTGATGCATATGGTTTATACAAGAAATACAGTAATCTGCGTCCTCCTAGTATCAAAAATCAGAGATTTTTCGTTGGTTATAGGAATGGCAAATGTGTGCAGCAAGTCTTCGGCATACATACCATCGGAAGCGTTCCTAAGAAAATTGCCACCTTTTTAAAACTTGAAAATCCCGAACTTTATACAGGACATTCATTTCGTAGAACATCAGCAACTATGCTCGTAGAAAATGGTGGTGACTTACTGTCATTAAAAGAACTGGGAGGATGGGAATCATCAACGGTGGCGGAAACTTACATAGAAAAATCGGTTTCTAAAAGAATGAAAATAACAAAACAACTTTTTCCAAATAATCCGGAGAATATTGCATCTTCAAGTACTGCAAATAGTTCACATTCTTCAGAAACATCTTCCTCTGTAAAATCTAAATATCCTTGGGACGGGTTGCAGATTTCAAATAACACCAATTGCGAATTCAATTTCCACATCCATTACAATAAGGAATAAATTGTTTTATTCCGTACCTATCTTTTAAGAGTTACGTTTAATAAAATTTGTTCTTAAATTAGGTGTTTTGTTTTTGTAGCAGTTAGACGAAAAATCTTGAACGAAACACGGCCGATAATAGCAAATAACGGCTTTGGCTGTTTATGATCCTCGGCTATCGCCTCGGATCACAAACTTCAGCCCGACCGTTATTTGCTATTTATCGGCTTTATAACGTTAATAACTATTAAGGTGCTGTCCATTCAAGGTTTGGTCAAACTGCTTTAAATAAATTTCTTGCTGTCATGAACGTTCCTACGATATCATGGAGTTTATATAAGAGATATGAAAGAGAAATCGGTCCAGCAATAGAAGAAACTGCAAAAAAGAGTTGCAGTGCAGCAGAAGAACGTTAACTTGTTGTTGATAAGTTAGATGAATTGAAGACAAAGTTGTAAGGCATAGAGTCATTGTATTTACATATAAACTGAAAAAAAATCTAATCTACGAGAAAAAATTCAGAGCTTCTGTATCTATGTTTCTGTAACATGTGGAGGGTGAGTTACCCCTTGACGGCACTTATGCCTTACTAAACCCATTGTGCATCCTCCTAAGATGATAGGCACCTCCTAGTTAGTTAGAGCTTAGAAAATAATTTTGAAAAATTTAATAATTCGTAACCCAAGTACAATTTATTTGAGTCAAGAAAAATGAAATAATTCGAAAAAAATTCTGTTTGATTTAATATAATGAAATTTTTTAAAATTTGTTTCTTAGTTCAAAATTTTTTTTCCTAAATTAAATTTATTTTTGTATCATTGTGGAATATATATCACTGAGATGAATGAAAATTTATTCAAATGCCTCTTATGAGTTCAATTATTATAAAATTAATTTTAAATATTATCGAAAATTTATAAAAAATAGTTTTTGTGAAAATTTTAATATATTACAATCATGACTAGTTGCAAATAGCCTTTAATAGCCGATTAATTGTTAAATTTAATTTGTAAATAATTTACAATGAACTGGAAGTAGTAATATTATTAACCATTTAAGTTACCATTTGTTTACTTCAATAGATTGAATTATACAAATGTTTGCATTCATATCCTCAGAGAAATTAATATTATTACAATTTGTCTAGGTCACATTGGTTGAACTTAATTTTTTGTAAACAATAAAGTACACTGAGTACAATAAAAATGAGATGGTCAAATTTTTAAGTTATGTCCGCTTTACGTTATTACGAGCTTAATATTTTCTACTTTTCAACTTCCTTTTTAGACCTAAAGAAGTATTTGAAGATCTATACCCTTACTATACAACTTTAAAGTCTATCAATGCTGAAAATCCTGATGTTGAAGATCTTACTTCTGAAGCTACCCAAAAATTAGATTTGACAATAGCACAAATTTTTGATATTATAATATCTTATGATATGGGATGGAGTAAGAGAGGCTGTTACGGGCTCAATACTTTCGTGCTACAGAGATTTTTAAAATTAAAATAAACTAAAGGAAAAAATAAATAAATACTTACAGTTTAAAATAATGCTAATACATATTTAATAATTATTTATTTTACTTGAATTATTGTTTACATTCCAAAGTACAAACAATATTGACCTTGAACTTGAACTCTTCTTTTTCCCATTATTCTTCAAAATATTAGGTACTCTTCTGTCTAAAAATAATAACATAAAACCCTACTACGGTTAGGTTAATTATTGTCATCAAAAATCTCCTACCTAGATCAAGGAAGTATGATTTTTCTCTCACTTCCTGGTTCTGTCTCTTTTTTGGCTGATATTGGGCCATGTGGACTCATTAATAAAATCGAAATTTATTTCGGATTTAATAAGCCTGAAACAAAAGAAATTCCATCAAAGATAATTGTATAACAAAAAGTTAATCAAAGCTGATTATACACATTAGTGGATTTGCATACAATATCTTTAGAAGGCCGCTACTTCTTCACGGTAAGCTATACCTTGATCTCATCTCATCATAAAAACTTTTAACATATTGGATTCATCCTATTTTCAGGCCATCAACTATTGACTACCACCTAGCTTTTATTCGTCTAACTACCATATTGTGGACTAGTTACCATATCTACAAATACCTCTCATCTATCGCATATTCTTGGACAACATATTGGAATAAGGATTTTATTTCATAGCATCACTCACCTTCCAGTTAGTAGCTGTTTGATACTGACCCCAACGCACTTCTATAGATATAGTCAGGTTCAGGTTGGAGCTTTTGAACTGCAAGGATACAAGTAAGAAATATCCAATTATAACTCTCGAGGGCATAACAGGGCGATTTCAATTTAATTTCGTTTGGGTACAGGAATACCTACAAAACAAGATAATAACTATTATTTTTATATTATATTTTACCAGATAAACTCTATCATCATCAATATTAATAATTTTAGATTAAAAAGGTATTTACCTTGCACTGTAAACCGCATAGTACTACGTGGGTTCATTTACGGTTTTGTTGGGATGGAGTAAGAGAGGCAACGGCAAAAGCTATAATAGTTTAAATGGTTATGGTTCTATAATAGGATTCTTGAGTGGAAAAATTCTAGATTATGGAGTTCGAAACAATGCAAGCTCTGTGATAAAGGACACCCACCAGAAGATCATGACTGTCGGAAAAATCATGACGGAAGCGCGAAATCTATGGAAGCAAGTGTTGGTATAGAATTAGCAAACCGTAGCGAAATATTACAAGAAGCTAGATTGAGAGTGCGTGTTTTGGTGGGTGATGAGGATAGCTCAACAATAGCACCCAGACAGCACACCAAATCCTTTGGATATCTACTGAACATCCCAATATCCACTGAATGTCCAGTCCATGGTGGATATCTATTTTATATCCATGAAATGTAATTTATAGACATGCAAATGTCCATAAATAATTGTAATTATATAGCAAATTATTAAAAAATTACGCCATTGTACTCGCCATTGTGGCTAATAGTACCGTTGAGATATTTAAAATTAATTTTTTTTAAGGTGTATTCAATATCCCATGGACATCCACTATAAATATAAATATATCAAAGTCTAAGCGCCGACGCAAACCATCGTGGATATCTACTAGATGTAATTTTTGATTTTGCTTCCTAAGTATAGATGGCGATACCACTTTCGTATCTACTCATGCTTAACCCGCCGTAATTGAGTTTGATCGACATTGTTTCACAAACAGACTTCATTAGAGACTGAAGTCGAGAAGTTCCATTTATTGCTGAAGATTCCTAATGATGATTTTCTCCTTAGTAGGCAAAATCAAAGGCAGATTGTTGGGAATATTTTTTACCTCTATTTTCTTTTGACGTTATTCAATAACCATTGGTTACTTATGAACCTCTACTAAAAATAATTATAAAATATTTATCTGAATTTCTATATCCTGGGATATAGACGGACATTTGGTTGGATATCCACAAAATATATTCTATGGATATATCTGGGATTTCTTGTATTGTCTGGAGATACTCATTAGATATTTTGCTGAATATCCATAGGATATCTTCTATATTCTGGATATAGACGGACATTTGGATATCCATATTAGTTCCACGGAATATTTCTGATATCCTGTGGATATATTGGATATCCACAAAATATATTCTGTGGATATCTCTGGGATTTGGTGTGTTGTCTGGGCAGCAGTTCGTACTGGATCCGAAGCCTATATTTACAAGTTTGCAGATACTAATCACTTATATAAACATTTTAATGAGTCGTTAATTAAAATGAAGCCAAAATTTAAGGAAATTAGAGCAGTTTCAACTATTCCTCACATTAAAAAATGTTTCGGGTATGCTGTTAAAACATGTAATGGTGACGCAGCTGTTCTCGCGAATACGCTCCGTAATCTTCCTGATCATTTTTTTAACCACCATGAAAATTGTGGAGATTGGTGCCGTACTGATGCTGAAACTGATTCAAAACCTCATACACTAAACTTACAAGATAATGGGCTTTATGTGGAATTGAAAGAGCTTTTTGATAAGTTTGCCAATAATGCTCCTAAATTTGCTGTTGCTGCTTCTAGTCAAGCAAACGAGAGCTTCAATAACATAGTAGCGCATAAAGCTCCGAAAAATCATTGTTACAGCCTCAGCGAATCTTGCAGTTATCGAGTTGCGAGTGCTGTTGCGACGAAAAATGATGGTGATAATCATGTGTTGTCAGTTAATCAAATATTGGCAATATCGCCAGGAAAACATACAGCATCATTTATGGCGAAGAAAGATCAAATAAGAAAACAAAGAGCTGAAAAAGCTAGACTGCCAACAGCAAAAAAACGCAGAAATTGTTTAGCGAAGAATAAAGAAGTTGCAAGACAAAATAAAGAAAGGCAAGAAGGGGTTCAGTACCAAATAAATCCAAAAACATTATGCAGCAACTTACGTGACATTATTTCATCTGAAAATTGTAGCTTCGTATACTTCGATATTGAGACATCTGGATTTTCGAATAGCGCAGATATTCTGCAAATTGCAGCGAAATTTAAAAATAAAACGTTTAATGTGTATATTAAACCTACTCAGCCTATTGATTACCAGGCCTTTAAAGTTACAGGGTTAGAAAATATCAAAGGTGACTTGTATCTGTATGGTAAACCATTAAGAGCGATCACTTTAAAAGAAGCATTAATTTCACTGCTCGAATTTTTAAATTTTTCTTCTAAACCTTGTATACTAATTGCACATAATGCACGTTTTGATTCCTCTCATCTCCTGCGAGCAATTATCAGATTGTCGATGGTTTATTTAAGCTTGAGAGATTAGCTCAAGAATTTTTGCAAGTTCAACCATCTGGAAAATTTCATGAAGCTATCTATGATGTAGAAATACTTGAAAAACTCTCAAATATGTACCTGAATAAAGTAGATTTAATAGAAAACTGCGTACTTTACAAAGCGTCTGTAATGAAAAAAATTATATTGCCATCGTTAGAACCTTTAAAAGGTGTTATATCCGATATAATAGCAAAAAGGATTGCAAGAGAATGCCTAACTTTCGACGACTTGCAAAATACTCAAGAAAAATTTGGCACTGAAGGAGTCAAGCAATTATTGTCTGCCAAAGATTCTCGAGTCATAAAAAAAATTTGTAATTATTTTAATAAAAATAAAAATATGACATAATTTATAAATTTGTCTTACTTTTAATGAAATTTATTGAACGGTTACTTTTAAAATGAATTTAAAATGTTTGTTATTAAAAATTTTATGTTTGTAGCTATATTAATAAATATTTGTTTTAAAAATTTTGTTATTGGTTAGAAATAAAAATACTACAAAAAATCATTACTTTTATTTGTATTTTTTTATGACTTCCTCATACTAGTAAGTTGAAATTTTAAATTACTTTATATTCATTTTTT